AGGAGGCTTGATTTAGTAATAGTTATAAAGCACTCTGGGATCCTATTATGGAAGTCCTTATGAAAAAAAGAAAATATTTTTTTACTTTACTTCATTTAAAGAGGCAATGTTGGATTAAAAATCCTATTATATTAAAAAATCAAACTTCCTTACTTGTATTTATAATCTCTTAGACTATTAAAACTGATAATTAAAAAATAAAATTTGATCATTATAAATGCTGTTTGTGTTTCTCCGTGTCACTCAGCTCAGACAGTAATATATTAATCAGCAAAAAGAAGAACAGGAGTACTTGTGGCACCTTAGAGACTAACAAATTTATTAGAGCATAAGCTTTCGTGGACTACAGCCCACTTCTGTTCTTCTTTTTGCGGATACAGACTAACACGGCTGTTACTCTGAAATATATTAATCAGGTTAGCCTTTTGTTTTCAGTCATTTTCTCTTGCCGGCTGTCATTCAGCAGCACAATGCTGCAATGTTTAGGTCTCAGATACTGCTGGGAAATGTTTAAATCACCTGGGATATATAGAAAAAGAATAAATTAATGGAACTATTTCTTCTGAGCTTTAGGATTTGTAAAACCTTCTAAAGCATCAATTGTGGGGCAACATTAACTTGATGGTGTCTCCTTCTTTTGAATTCATAGATCTAGCTAGCTTAAAAATATCAGAGGTGGGTGAATCTAATGAAGTTACATTTTAAGGATTTTAATCATACTTGCATGTGGTACAGTTTGCTTCACAGCATAAGAATTGTTCAGAAATTTCAAGCACAGAAACAACAAGCCAGAACAAGCTTCTGATTTCTTTTTTCTATTGAGAGTTAATGATGTGGCAAAAACATGACCAGATAACATTTATTTCTTTACATGCAGCAACACCTGATTCCTTCTGAGAAGAGTGATTAATATAATATAGAGCCCTATGCCGAAAGGGAAATAAACCAGAAGCCCTCATCTGTAATCTGTGCTGCACCCAAATAGGTTTCTATAGCTCCAGGCGTCCTACGGCTGCTTGTGGTATCGCAGCTTTTCTGCAAAGGATTTACTTGGTTTTTTTTCGTTGTAAACCACTTCTTTCAGAGGCTTAAATGTGGGATAAACATTTCTTGTGCACTGAAAATTGGAATATAAACACCCTGCTTAGATATGGGGAGCTTTGTGCTTTCCAACAAAATGCATTTTTTTTCTAAATGGCGTCTTGGGATCTAGTTTAGTTTTAACCTTTTTGGCATTTTCATAATATCCATGAAATGAAAATGTGCAGATTAGTTACCCTGAGCCCCAATTGTGATTCCCACTTTGAGGGAAGATGGGAAAGCTTTAAAATGAACCTACGTTTTTGTTCTCAGAAATGACGTACGTGTGTATGTGTGTGTGTACAGCTGATGGGTGTTAAATTATAGCTGCTCCATGCAGGTGAGCTGGGCAGGGAGGACTTTTGTTGGACCTACGAAGGAGGCAGTCAGACTGCAGATGCTTGTAGTTCCTGAGTGCAAGGAGAGGAGATTGGCTGCACTGCTCTCTCCAAAGGAGAGGGGTGTGTGAGTGAGATGGATCCTGGCTCCTTTGTCCACCAGGAAGAACATAGTAGCACCCAGAAGGGAAAACCCTGTGATGAAAGCATCTTTTACTGTAGTTTTTGGCAAGTGTTAGTGCTGAGCATCTTTGGCAGCATCCAGCCATACCCTTATCCATGTGCTTCGCCCAACACGTACGTCTCTCTCCAAGAATCACAAATTTGGCCAAAAGAATTCATAGCAGTCTTTTCGTTCTTTGCTCTCAAGGCAACTGTCTGTTGGGTTAGGACTGACTGCTGCTAAAAGTGGTGGTAGTTTTTTATTTGGCGTTTGTGTGCGTGTGTGTGGCGGGGGAATCTTGTGCACGTTGATTGTATCGGTAGTGGTCTCAGTACAGTTTAGTCCACTGCCTAATATGGAGTTGTCTTGTCAAAGGAATTTGCCCAATGGAAACTCTGTGTCTGAGATACAGGATGCGTGTGTGTATATCTAGATTTTAAGCACCAAGTAGGGGGATCAGTACATTGGAGATGTAGCTGACTCCAGAACTGATGACATGGTTGCCTGTCTGAATGGGCTTTTCCCTCAGGAATAAGTCATCCTGGCTGTTGAGTGTTGTTCTGTTTAAAGAACTTACTTTTAACAAAGCAATTTCAGTAAAGACTCCATCCAAGTTAGTTCTCAGAAGATTTAACTTTTCTGGTTCCTTCTCCTCTTGGTTCTCAAGGGTGAAACAGAACATTTCAAATAACCAAAAGGAACACAGCTCTTCTGAAGAGAGGCTGAGGAAGGCCCAGCAATGCAAACCAAAGTCACAACCATTTCCACCCTCCCCTCTGTCCTTTGAGCTTGTGTTTAACTTTTTATCCAACACAACACAACTTTCTTTCTTACCATTTTTGCACTAAATGGAATAGTGAGAAGCTAATGTAACTTTTTCTTTGGACATATTGTTGCATTTATGGTACAGTCAGTGCTAGTAAATTCCAATAATTTGTAAAGCCCATTTTTATTGGGATTATACAAAGCTTTCAGACTGAATGCTCCTCGAGTGTGTTTGGCAACCAGGATAGAGCCTCTCGCTCCTTGAAAACGGAACAGGATTTATTCTGTGTACTAGTAGCTGAAATCCTGTGCTGTTGCACAGGTGGAATTTGTAAATCATGTAAAGTTTGTAAAGCCCAAAAAATCTGAGACCTTAAAAATTGCACAGTAACAGGCCACAAATCCCTGTGATGGTTGAACCTGGTTATATTCTAAACAAAAAGAGCTCTCAGCCACGTGTGTAGCTGTTTCCATCGCTTCACACTGACTGTGCAGACAGACTAGGCTTCATAGTGATGGTTTCTGGAGTCTTATAGAGATATAGGAATGGAAAAACATATTCTTCCACCACCTGGGTTTGCTTCTGTCCCTAACGAGGCTTTGGAACAGCGCTTCTGTGGGAGCATTGGGGGATGAAGCTTTGAATGTTTCAGCAACAGCCTCAGGCTTTCTGCTTATTACAAGGCAAGGATGGCAAAACTGTAGCCCATTTGCTTGCTGGAAGCTTAAGCACAGAAGCATTCCAAGCATCTCAGAATACCCAGACTGGGTTGCAGCCATTGTTTACTAAACCTCTCCCTGGCCGTTAAATTCTTTTTTCTTTTTCTTGCTACCTGCCATTGTAAAACTTGGTCACTAACTTTTTCTTTGCTGAATCATATTTTCTCCATAACCACACTAGAAATAGCTGTTTGGCTAACCTCATTTGCTGTGTGTTAATCTGCAGCAAGTTGCCATGCGATGGGCAATGTGTATGTGTCCCATTATTATCGCTTGCTGAATAATATTGTGTTTAAAATAGCTGGAACTTGTTGGCTGCAAAAGAAGTTGGAGATTGTCCACTTCTCTGTTCAATGATTTTACCTCATTTATATCTATTTTAATGTCTTTGCTGAGCAGCAAGCTCTCAATGTCCTAGGTATACAAATAAGGGAAGCTTCCCATAGCTGTGTAATTCCCAGAATTTGAGGTAGAAGAAGGAAGCCGTTTGCATCGCTTGTCTCTCCTCCTGGGCATGTTCACTATTGTCTTCCAGAAGAACAAGACTCTGGGTTGGGTAGACAACGGGAGCAGCCACTTATGTAGTCAACAGCTGTTCCCCCACCCCTCCCGCACCCTCCCACCCACACAGCTATGGACTCTACTGTCAGACCTCTTTTATAGAGCAGGGGAATGTTGGCCTGAGTTACTCTTTTTTCCTCCTTGTGCCAAAGGATCTTTCACTTCTACCTGGGGCGTTAGCAGAGGCAAGTAAAAGGAATCCTGGTCTAATGCCTCTTCTGAAGAACTGGCTCACTAAATTAAATTCTCTCTCTGAGTCTGAGAGGAAAATTGCTCCGCATTTAAATAGTCTGCACATAGAGGGGAAAGTGTCATGGAGTGGGCATACCTACTAGTAGTTTAGTGTGTGTCAGCTTGTTGGATGTAATAAAGGAAGCATGTCTGGCTGTGTACATATGGGTTGCTTTGCCAGAGCCGCAAGAGATGAAGGGCCAAGTTTGGGGTGAGCCTAACTTCTAGCCATGTCGGTGTACCCCTAATGGACTTCCTTGACCTCTGGCACTCTGACTGCTCTGGCCAGTCCGGTTTTTTTAGGCATGATGCAACTATTAACCTTAAGGCTGGAGCTATATATGCAGGGCACAGGGCTTCCTAATGAGTCCAAGACTTCGCAGTTCACTCCAGCAGGAATTAGGAATGGCTTCAGATCTGACCACGACATTGACAGCAGCTCTTGTAACCTGTTAACATTTCTAAGACAGCTTAAAAATCCCTTAGGTCAGTTCCACAGCCCCGTCTTGCCCATGAGGGGTTGAAAAGAGGAAACTTGACTGATGTAAATCTCCATGTAGATGCCTGACAGTGGAAGGTGGTCAGGTACCAGGGTGATGAGCGTGGTACAAGGACGCGAATAAGATAGAATAAAAAGCAGCATCTTAAACTTGCACCTGCTGACTAACATAAACTTACATCCCCTTACATGTCACCTCTGAATTTGACCCATTCTGTAGGTGACACTAGTACCACAGTGTGAGAATTACATTAAAGGGTGAGGTGAGAGGGATAGCAGGGAAAAGGAACTAAAAATAGGGTGTTCCCTGCTTTAACATGAACCTCTTATGCTTCCTTTGTCTGGTAGCTTATAAATTAAACCAGTGTAACATCCCTTATGACCATTCACTGATGTATAATTTACATAATCTTCCACCTCACCTCCCAGGCCCCGATTCAGGATGGTGCTGAAGTTGGTCTCTATTTAGGACAGCACTTAAGCATGTGCTTTTCTGAATTGGGGCCTGGAATTGGCTCAAGTACTGTAATGTAGAGTTTTTCCTTAATGTTCTAATATCAAGCAATATATTTCTTTGAGTATCTGAATTCTGTTACTATTCATCATTTACTAAAGTAACCCTTTGTCCTTTTCTTTTTTCCAGGAAAAGAGGGATAGAAGTCATACAGGTGAGTAAAGATTATTTTAACTTTTCTGTATAAAAAGCAAAATGCTGCTTCTCTCACTTTACAAAGAAAACTACTAAATCTCTGGCAGACTTCACCAACAATTGGTCTTCATTTTTTTTTCCATTCCGTCAATCTTTTTCTTGTTTCATTCCCTTATTATTCAGACATTCGCTCTGGGAAAAGCAAGTCTGATGCTGCTAAGTGTATATGATGAGTCCCATCCAATCTTGTGGCCAATGATTAGGCTTTTCTTTTCTGTATTAACTAGTACGAGTCAATAACACTGGTTATGATTAGGTGGTGTAATCTGTGTTTATTGCATTTAAATACAATAAGGCTTAAAAGAAAGAAGAGCTGCCTGCGTGTAAGAAACTTCTAAAGAAATTAGTCCATTATACAAAGAATATTCTTGCAACCCAATGAACAGGAAGAAGACAAAACTATCGCTTAATTTGGTATTGGCGCATCTACTGATGGTCTTGAGGGGTGGCTGGATTTTCTTCCTGTTTGCTAAGTCTGAATGGCTATATTTCCACTGTGCTATAGGTAAAAGTGGTGCTTAAAGTGGTGTGAAAACAGTTGGGGTTCTGTCATCTGAGCTGAAATAAATTTTATGTGCTCGATACAGACAATTCACACTTCCGTGTATGTATTTATTTCATAATAATCACGTTCAGTTCTTAGCTCAAGAAGCTGTTTACCTATTTGCTACTATTGTTTTTAAATGAGAGAGTTACACACCAAACTTCTATTGAGACAATAACTAGTTGAGATATTTTTAAATTTTAACATACTGTCCTTTGCTAACTCTAGTGATGGTCCAACATAAGCTGACAAAATCACTTCCAAAGCCCTTCATAAAGGGAAGAGAAGACTGAAAGTACGCCTGTCAGGAGCACAGTTTGATTTTAAAAAATTGTTTTTTGGCCATGTCTGTGATCCCACCCACTTCAAGCACTGGTTAAAGGGACATCGTGAGAGAAATGATTTTTCGATCTTACAAACAGAAGTTGGTACAGTAAAAGATATATTACCTCCCCCACCTTGTCTCTTACATTAGTATCTGATGCTTTTGTTGTGCCAGGGTAACCCCTTAGAGCATGGTAACTGAAAAAGATCAGAATACAGGCTTTGTTCCCAGTTTATCTGGTGCATTCTACAGTACTTTGTATCATTGTCACTCTTTTGTTGCTGGTCAGTTGCACTCTTGCCCTGCACTAAAGTGAGGAGCTTGCTCGCATGCTCCTCAGGTGCTGGAAGAGGGAGTTCACCAGTAACCGCAGCACCGCTGACACTGTACACCGCAAAAGAGGGATGGGGTGTGAGTTGAGGTTGTTTGGTGTTGCCCTTGTTTCTGCCTGAAAGATCTTTCTAAACATCAACAGGGGTGCAGAAAAAATCCTTACAGACATAAATTTTTTTTAAAAAAAATCAGATCATGCTATTTAAAGACTCCTCTCTCAGGAAAAAATACATTTAAAAAAAAAAGTCAGTTTGACCACATTAAATTTGGGAGTGTCCCTTTAAGGTGTATGAGAATATCCTCATGAAGATCAGCTGCTTGACAGCATTACAAGAAAAGAAAGGATCTGCCTTAATGTCCAGCTGTATTTATCCTTATTCCCCTAGCGTGCTACAGCCACAAGCTCTTCCTCCTTCCCTTTGTCAGCTACTGCCAGGAGCTGAATAGTGCATTGTTCATTGTTTGCTGTTTGTTTAGAATCTCCAGATCTCTGCCTTTGAGATGCTGGTAATATTTATCAGTTTTACATGCTAGAGAAGATAAGCATTAGCCTGCATCTTGATGATGATGATCATTATTCTAACATTAATAATAATTGCTGACAGTGGGCCTGGGTATATTTCATTGGGTTTCTAAATGCTGCACTGTTTACTAAAGTGATGAGACAGCCATATGAGAAGAACTCAGCATAGCACCTAATGGCTGAGGAGAGGGGAAGATCCTTTTTACTTCCCTGGGTTAAGCTCCTGTGCTTATATTATGATGATTGGGTGAGTCTCCATTATAGCAGGGCTCATAAGCAGAGTCCAGTTATTGAATGGAGGACTCTGTAATTAAGTGTGGTTTAACGTCTGTTCACCAGCTAGACACAAACCAAGTGGAAAAGACCTTTTTTACACAGAGAAAGTTTGGAAACGTTTGGTGAGGACTCAGTGAAAAGATACCTTTATGGAATCAAACCTCACAGCATTGTACAGGCTGCCCTGGGATCTTGACTTTAAGAGATCTGCCCCTAACAGCTATACCTAGAGAACAGGTGGGTAACCGGTAACCTTTGCTTGAGCATAGCTGTTGAAAGACAATTATTTCCACCCCCAGCAGCAAGGGAGGAACATGCTTCCATGGTTGCACTGTTGAAGTTTCATGAGATCTGGGGCTTACCTTCCTGTAATGGTCCTCGCTCGGGATTTGCTTGGGAAGTGTGGCCTAGTGGTCAAGGCCACAACCTGTGACTGGCAGGGAAGGGAGCCCCGTCCCTCCCACTCTACCCTTTGGGCTACCAGTCGTCTGGCAACTGAGGTTAAGGCCTGCCACTTCTTCTTGCCCCCCCTCTCCCCAGTCAGCTTATTCGAAGGCTTTCCTATGTTGGGGAAGTCTGAATCAAATAAGTAAGAGGGGGGTTACCAGGATCCACAGGCGGAGGAGAGGGGGATACTTACCTCTCTGAGGTGGGTCTTCCTTTCCCTGGGGGAGGGCCCCTTTGGACAGCTATGTCAGAGACTTTAGGCTTCCCTCTGCTCTGCAACTGTCGGCTGCAGGTCTACTCACTTCCAGCTCCACTGCCAAAATGAGCTGTTACCCTGACGTTTTAGTTCCTCCACCAGATGGAGCATTTGCTGCAGGTGTGGTGGGGCAGGGCTGGCTGGGCCCAAAATCCCTTAGTGCCCAGTGTGTGGTTTGTACACCCATCACAGTTCCTCTGCAGTGTTGAGTATTTTCTTCCTTCTCTTAGTAAAGTATTTACCCCAGAGCTCAGGGTGTCCTGATAAATCTTACTGCTGACAGCACTTTAGATGCCACCTCCCTGCTACCAAACCAAACCAAGCTATTCTGCACATGGCCCCCCCCCCCAATGCAAACTTGCTTTGCATAGAGATGTAACCAGAAATCTATATATTCTTTTCATATCAGACCGCCTGAAAACCTCCATTGCTCACATGATGTGCTTCCTCAGCTGTGTTCGCAGATGCGGAATGATAGTTTTGGTATTTGATCTGCTGGACAAAATTTATTTGGCAGTAGTGTTGTTTTCCTGTGTTAAGCAGCAGGACTTCTTTGCTTTCCAGGAACAGCTCCTATTGTGAGCTGTCCCAGAACAAGCCACCTCATATTCTTGACAATAAACAAACAACTTGACGCACACAAATACACAGACTCTTGCATCTATATTCCTGTTTGCACAAGATCAGAAATTTTGCCACTGATTTCTGAATACATTTAGTGTGACGTGTGTGTACGCAGTCTAGCCAAAGAGTCAGTCACAGAAATTTGCTGCTAACCTGTTGGATTCAACAGGATGGCTAGTCTGCAGTAGTGTACTAAACAGACATGTGGTGATTTGTGTGAACAAACACCAAATCTTTGTCCTATTTCCTAAAATGTTGCCCAGGGTGGGGGAAGATCAATGGATCTTCCTAATAAAAGAGAGGAAATTTTCAGGTAAGTGCAGGTATGTTTTCCTAATTCTCTTCTCTCTGAGAAGATAAGGTGACCCTTTTCCTTTCACTAGTGCTAATGAAAGCCCCAACCTCATTTTCCTTACAGTTAATTTTTACCTATATATTGGTGGTGAGCTACTCTTGGATGACAGTTACAGACTTTGCTACTGGATTTGATGTTAAGGCCAGCCTACGTTTCTGACTTTTGTCTGAGACTTCAGGCTGTAGGTGTAGCGTTGTAGAGTTCCAAGTTCTTGGACAGTCAGCAAGCAAACATATTTGTGACAATGAACTGGTGCAGGGCAAGGAACGCTAATGGTAGGTTAAATAAGCATCCTCTTCCACCCACTGGTAAAACATTACTTTTGTACCAGGCATTTATAAAACTATGAACTATTGGAACTCATTTACAAAACTTTTCTTAAACATTACATGAATATATTGTCTCATACTATAGAATTAGAATTTATAATCCCTATTCCATAATGAGATAGCTTTGTGTATCTTAATTAAAACTATCTTTAGATAGGTTTTCCCTCAAAAAGCATTTTATCAAAGTAATCCGATTTAAATAAAAAAATCCTATTTATTTATTTATTTATTAAATCATTGATTTTTTTTATCCACCCTGGCGTCCAATTTAAGTTGCCTGTATTAGTTTTACTAGTAACCTGGCCTCTTGCTCCCGTCAGCTTGGCTGCCTGGCCTGAGGTGGTGAGGGGTAACAATACCTTGCATTGCAAAACCTCTCTAAGATTTGAGATATGCACATTTTTATAAAGGGGAATCCTCACAAGGACATCTGAGGATGGCTTACATTTATTTTTGTTTCAAGTTATGCAAATCAGTATTAATTAGCTGCAGCCCTTAGGACCCTGACAAATTGCCGGGTTAGCTTTTGTGTTGCAAAGTTTGGGGCACTTCAAAGCTCACTTAAGTAACTACCTCACCCAACCTTTTCTGGAGACATAATTCATATTTTTCTATTTTTAAAATGAAGATGTATAAGTATTTTTTTGGTGCCTAATTAACATTAGCATGCTTTGTCTTGGTAAGACATTGAAGTTGCTTGGCTACAAAACTGGGATTAGTCATTGAATTCCAAGCTCTGTATTTTTTTTTTTTTTTTTTTTTTTGAGTAAAGTAACCATGGGACCTGGAAGATAAAATGTTTTTTAATGTGGAACAGCTGATTGTAGTAGTCAGAATGGTCTAGGTTGCTGCTTTGTTTTTCCTTTCCCTCACAACTCTCTGGGAATTCAGATATTTCAAATCTCTTATTTTTGAGTGGAAAACTATTCTTTAAACAGTTGGCTTTG